CTCGTTCTTCCTCCCCTATCCCTCTCCCTCCAGTCCCGACTCCCCCCTTTAGTCCCGCTCCCGAGTCCCGCTCCCCTCCTAACTAATCCCGACTAATGACGATTACCCCTCTCCCGGATCCCGATTCAAACACGCCAACCCGATCCCTTCCCTGTCCACGCCCCCCCTCTCCCCTTCCCCAGTATCGAATTCCCTTCCCGGTCCCACCCCTCCCTCCAATCCCGACGCCCCTTCGTTAGCCCCGATCCCGACTCCCGCTCCCTATAGATAGATGAAGCTGCATCTCTAGATGCATCTAATAATAAATGCATCTGCATCTACATCTACAGATGCATCTAAGAATAGATGCATCTATAGCATCTAAGTATACTTTGATGCATGTAACAATAAGTTGCGCCTAAGGATCGCTCCATCTAAGAATACGTGCGCCTAAGAATAGATCCATCTGAGAATAGAAAGTATCACTGAATAGGTCCGACCAGGTTGAGACCGCGGACACCCAAATAGATCTAAGAGGAAGCCCAGAGTCTTTATCAATACAATTTCCATAAATAGGAAAATGAGACCAGTGACCACGCTGCTCAACGCTGACATCTGCCGAATTGCTGTGCAAAAAAAAACAGAAAAAAAAAACGATCTTCTGTCCAGCAAACCTACTGTGCAGCAAACCTTCTGAGGGCACGTTCACACTGCGTACCCACAAAATCGTATTTTCTTGAAGAAATGGGATGCCTGATTTGGGTAAATAATGGCTGAATAGGTCACGCTGCTTCGCCATTTTGCAACAGACGAGATTGTGGCCGCCTGGGCCCTCAGGCCAGCCACTATTTTCCCAAATCAGGCCGCCGCGGGGGTTGGGAAATCGGATTTTGGGTCCTCTTCGACTGCTCGCGTCAAGCTGCGAGATCGCATTTCCTGGCAATATCTTTGTCTTCGAATTCCTTAAATTTTCTTTCCATTTCCGCACATTGATTCCAAACAAGAAAGGGAATTTGGGGTAGCCTCCCCCGAGGATACCACAAATTCCCACCCCCCCTGCGGGCCCTCAGGCCACTGACAAATGGAGGGGGGGGGGGTCACAGATAAGTAGTTTGGGGAAATGAGATCCTGGTGTACCTATATCTCCACATAAATGGAATAAATGATAAATTGCATAAATGATAAATGGAATAAATGTAAATTGTCAGTTTATATCTATTATTAGTAATTATGACTGGAATATTCGAATTATTGTAATATTTTCTATCGATTGAGTACTCTATTTATCATTAAGCACACTACTGCAGTGTGAGCGTGCCCTGAGTCAAGGTGCATTCGCCATTTTTTTCGGCGCTTCCTCACTACCGTCTTCCCCCCGAACACAACGCACCCTCATTATGGCTGTATCTGGCCGGAAATACAACTTGTATACATTCATTTTAAGGGTGCGTTATGTTCGGGGGAAGACGGTAGTGTGGCAGGCGAGAGACCCCTGCACCTCCTACTTGAAGATGCAGAATTTTATCATTTCTCCCTTTTTCATTTTTGAAAAGGGCGAACCCTTGAGTTTTTTTTTTTTTAAATCTGACAGAGGTTTCTTTTTTTCTTTTTCTTTTTTTATTGGATTTGAACGCAGAATTTTATTATTTCTCCCCTTATTATTTTTGAAAAGGGCAAAGCCTTGAGATACTTTTTTTTTTGGATCTGACGCAGATTTCTTTTTGTTCTTTTTTTCATTGGATTCGAACGCGGGTCGGTATCTCAACAGTTCATGGGTGTATCAACTGAGCTCGCCTCACTAGGAGGACGCTGAATTTTTTTTGCTTTTTTTTTTTTCGGGGGGGAGGAGGGGAGAGGTAGGAGAAGACGGAGAATGTGCTTTTCTTTTTTTTTGCATTCATTTTGGGTAAGACAGAAATTTGCTTTCCCTCACCAGAAGAAGTCAATACGATAATATCCAACATTTTCTGTTTTTTTTTAATTATTTAATAAATGAAAAAAGAAAAAAAGCTCCAACTTCCTAGAGAACAGCGTTGTTCTAAAGGCCGTGAAATAAAAAAGCTAAGGCCGTATTTGATTAGATTGAGCTTTTCAAGTTTTCACCAAAAAAAATAAAATAATAAAAAAAAATCTGCTTTATATTTTCAGGGAATAAAAAACGGATAAATGACGACTCACCCCTCGGAGTAATCCGCTTGCAGCAGATCCAAGTACGTGTCCCATTTGTTGCCAATCACCTGTGCCATTTGGTCCCCATAACAAGCCCCATCCGGCCCGATTGTAGTCCCAATTCATCCCCCGACAGGTCCGTCCCGTATGGTCCCGATAAGCCGAGTCCCATATGCCGTCTCATGTGGTCCCCGTAAACAGTCCCATAACTTGTTCCAACAGGACAAAGAGTCGCATTTGTTCCCGATATGCAAAATCCCATTGAGTCCCAATGTGCAAAACCCCATTTGGTCCCCATAAGCAGTCCCATTCGGTCCCATTTGCAGTCCCAATCGGTCCCATTTGCAGTCCCATTCGGTCCCATTTGCAGTCCCATTCGGTCCCGTTTGCAGTCCCACTTCATTCCCGTACACCGTCCCAAATGGACCCTATATCCAGTCCCATTTGTTCCCAGCATGCAAAATCCCATTTAGTCCCAAAATGCCATTTAGTCCCATCGGTCCCGACGTCCGGTGCCAGTCGTTCCGATATCCAGTCCCATTAGTTCCCGATATGCAAAAAAAAACCATTTAGTACCGACATGCGATCCCATCGTTCCAGATGTCCCATTCCCGTCGGCCCCGACGTCCAGCCCCATTTGGTCCCCTGTCTCTCTCTCTCTCTCTCGCACACACAACCAGAACAAAAACAAGGAACAGAAAACAAATAACACAAAAAATTAAAGACACAATTACCAAATAATGGCGGCATAAGGGATGCATGAGTCCATAAGGGGAAAAAACGCAAATGCGAAAAAAAAAAAAAAAAAATCGAAACAAAATCGAAAAATCTTCCAAGAAACTGTTCTGCTCCTAGAACCCAATAGGTGAGAGAACTTTTTTTTTTTTTTTAACCTATTAGAAAACGCAAAATGAAAAAAGGAAACTGTGTACAACTCTCATTCGCACAAATGTGGAGAGAAGTAGGTCGTCAACAGAAACGGAACCCCCAAAAAGAAGGCTTCGGCGCATTCAAGCAGGGCTTTAAGGGGGGGAGGGGGAGGGGGAGGGGGAGGGGGAGGAGAGAAACAAACGACGCCAAAAAAAGCGATAAATGTAATAAGTGAAATTCTCCCAATTATTCATTATCCTACTCTGATGAGAATGAATGCCTGCAGTATCCTTTTTTTTTTTGTTTTGTTTTTTTTTGTTTCTTTTTTTTGTTTCTTGCGCACGGGCCATGCTAATCTATTTCTCTCTATCGTTCCCAGTTTAACGGATATCAGGAAGGAAGCAGTATCAAATCAGTTTTTGTGATATCATCATTTCTCCCAATTAGTTTTTTGTCGTTTCTGCTTCGTAAGGGAAGTAAAAATGATAAGATTTAAGATAAGACTAGACTTAGGGCATACTCGCTCGCACTAGGGAGGACCTTTTTACTTGTTTATGGACGTGATTGCGGTCAGATGCATCCAGGTCTGGCCGTAATTGCAGTCGGATGCATTTTGGAAAAGTGCTAGTGTGAATATTCACACCCTTGATAAGATTTTACTGATAAGACTTAATAAGATTTACTCCTTTGAGCTGGGCTACCAGCCGGGCCGCCCGGGTCACCTTGTGTGACCGGGCATCCCGGCCGTGCAAGGACCACGGAAGGACCCAGCAAAAAAAAAAAAAAAAAAAGGGGTCACCTTGTGTGACCGGGCAGCCCGGCCGTGCAAGGACCACGGAAGGTCCCAGCAAAAAAACAAAAAAAAATCCAACACATCGAAATTCTTTACCAAATTTAAAATACAATTAAAAATTAAAATATATATATTTGTTTTTGGCCCGGCCGGGCAAGTTGCCCCGGGCCACTCTGGTAGCCTAGCCTTTTACCATTTAACTTCGATGTTCCTGACGGCGATTTTTTTTTGGCGGTTTTTTTCCCCGAAATCGTCAGACCTTTTTTTTTTTTTGTCTTCAGACCATTTAACCGTCGTGTCCGTTACCAAGCCACGATTTTAGCTAAAGTACGTGCCACTACAGGAGCGCCCAAATTGATCCAACTAGAAACGTTTCTACTCTTTTTTTTTTTTTTTTGCGGCCGACTGCCTAGGTAAGTTCATTAGGAGACTTGCGCCCTTTCTGGACGTGTTTATGGAGACGTGCAGTTCAGGAAACTCAACACCATTTCTGCACATCTCTACAAAAGCGTCCAGATTCAGGCGTTGAGGTAGCTCAACGCTGCTAGTGGGACTTGGCCCCAGGCAAGAACAGGGTATATAATGATATGACAAACAGGATAGCAACGGATAACGACCCTTGATTAAAAGTGAACAACAGTAAAGGGACACTCGATGGGTCTTCTCCCCCCCCCCACCCCCCCCACCCCCACAAGAAATCATTCCATATAGTATTGCAAAAAAAGCCTTGGGGCCGAGACCCCAAAATTCGACCCGGGCAATCTGAGGGCATTTTTTACTGAGTTCAATTTAGCAGACTGCCGCCTGAATAGCCTTGGGGCCGAGACCCCAAAATTCGACCCCGGCTTCCATGCATTTAAATACTAAAAAAACTTGGGAGCTCTTAACGGGGGCTCGAAATCATCAAGGGGAGTTTTTAATCAGAGCTATCAGCATCGCTTTATATTCATTCATGCTCAACGTACGGCGCTTCGTCAATCTGCACCTTGACTGGAAAAAGGGACAGGTGCCGACAGCGACGGTGACGTGGCGACGATTTAGGACAGCCAAGCGGATAAGGCTGACAAGGATAACGACAATAAAGTAAAAAAAAAACAAAAAAAAAGAAAGAGGAGGACGATCAAACTCACGTGGACCTGATGGGGACAACTACCGTCTTCACACGAATGGGACGCTTGGTCGTTGTAGCGGTATTTGGTGCAACTTCCAGACTAGATACAGAGATAATGACCGGGCGGGCGTGTTCTATTCGGGTAAAAGAAGACGGTAGGAAGAGCACACTCACTCAGATTCATTCCCCGAGGCCTTGATTGGATGTATCTGATTGAAGAGAAATTGGAAAACGACAAACAGGATGAAGACGAGGATCGAAAAGACAACGATGATAATTGAAACGGATAACGAAAATTATGAAAACGGATAACGTCCTCCCTTCAATATTTATTAAAAAAAAAAAAAAAAGGAAAACCGTAAAGAATATTATGAGAACGAATAAAAGAAGGTGACGAAGATGATAGAGATGACGAGGCCCAGTTGATAGCCTGTACCTAGCCTGTATACATTCATGATGAGGGTTGCGTCGTGGCTGACGAGAAAACGGAGGATAATGATGACAACAAGATACGACTACTGTCTTCCCCCGAACACAACGCACCCCAATCATCAATGTATACAGGCTAGCTTTCCGGGTAGATACAGTCCCCAAGAGGGTGCTCTGTGCTCGGGGGGGAACAGCAGGCTGTCCTTCACAACCCTCCCCCTTCTCTATCCTCTTCTGCTGCTATTACTGAGAGCTCAATCGCACTCGGATATATACTGACTGTATCGGACCGCAAAGACAGCTCATATACATTCATGATCAGTATAATATTGTTCGAACTCTCCTCATCTATATCCAATCCCTCCTTGCCCTCCGTACGTCTATCTAAAAGACTACCCGTGTTCCCCCAAGCACAACGCAACCTCATCATGCCTGTATTTGACCGCCAAGCTAGGTAATATACATTCATGACAAGTCTTCCCCCAACCACAACTCACACCTCATCATGTCTGTATCCGACCTAAAAAAAAGTCCGTGTACATTCATGATCAGAGTGCGGTTTCTTCAAGGGAAGAAGCGTGCAATCCTGCATTAGGGGCCATCCTCACTAACTACCAACATTTCCCGGTCGTATCTGACGGCGATCACCGCCAGATTCACTCCAGAAAATACAAGTATGAACTGAATATGGCGCTCTTCCTCTTTCTAACTGATCGAACCATTGCAGAAGTAATTGATAATATAATCCATGGAAGGTAAGAAGATCTTTGAAAAAAAAAAATCGCGGGGGAGGGGGGGGAGGGGGGAGATGGGGGAAGGAGATCATAATCAATGACATGGTTCGCAACAAAAAAAAAAAAAAAAAAAAAAAAAAAAAAAAAAAAAAAAAAA